ATGCATAAAAGTATGATATTTTACCACACAGGTGTGCTGTTTCAACACAGAAGCTGTGTCGAAAATGAATATAGGATGCATCAGCAATCTGGGACAAAAATGTGTCAATTTGTCACATTTTTTTGTTTGTTTGTAATAAGTGTCTGTCTGATCAAAAGATCAGAGTACTGGCTAGTACAATATGTACCTTTGACAGTTAATATAACCTGTAACCCTTACTAAGCCAATGAAACTTTGCCTGAGAATATAGCAGCATTCATGCCACAGTCATTTGGTGCAATTCCCATGCACTTTATACAGAAAATTCAAACATACTTTCCTGGAGTGAGATGAAGAGTTTATCATCCCAGAAGTGAAATATAGTACTGAGAAAAAAACAGACAATATAATCAGGAGGCCATTTCCATAAATAGCCGGCATAAAATTTCGACAGTGTACCATTCATCCAATACATTTAGTTGATGCTTGTTTGATGGCACATAGTATCATCATTTCCTGGATACTGACTAAGCAGAAACTATTATCTATACTTGCCTGGTGCATTGATCCGTAGCCATAAAGCAATTAAGGTAGGTACCTTATTTTGCATAGTCCCAGATCAATATGCTTGAATACATAGATCTTCTGCCCAAAGTGGTAGCCTCAGGTTTGATCAGGACATAGGCTTGCATGGTATATAAGTATAGTCTACCTGACTAAAATGAAATTCTTCAACCATACCCTGTCCAAAGGAGAAAGGGGGGTGTTGACTGAGATCATACAAATGGGGTGAATAAAACCCAAAGTGAGTTGTGCTAGACAGATTGCTCTTTTTTGTTGTTTTTGTCCGAAACCAGTAGCTAGAGTCATTAATGAACATCATCTAAGTTCATTGCTTGCTATAAGACTATGGAAATAACTAAATTAGAAATATCATGCCTCAATAGCATATGAAGCTCCTCTTTTAGAAACAGCTGTATTGCCACTGAATTGAGTTCAAATCCTTTAATTGAAAACCTGGGATAAAATTTATGAAAGTGGCACCATTAACATTGACTGCATGCTGCTTCACCTACTCAATTAAATTAAGATTGCCACTGAACACAACCTTTAGTGTCCATCACTTTAAATACTGAATCACAGTTATCGTGAAAATGAATGGCACCAACAGATATAAGTCATGTAGTAGAATATGCATGGGTTGAGAACCACCCATTATCAGAGTTAGCAATTTCACCATTGATGAACAATGTGATATTACACATAGTAATAATAAAACCAATGATCAACTGATGGCTTTCTTTGGAATAGTAAATTTGCTAGTATGCAAAAAGTCTCAAATATATACCCCTGAAATGCCTTGGTTGAAAACGGAAAGGTTGTTGGAGTCTCCATCATTATCTATCAGTTATGTAAGACTTTCCATAAAAGGAAACTCCATACATTTCACACCCATCTCCATTGATGATGAGCAGATCAAGGATTTTATATTCCTTCCTCTTGTTGTTCTGTTACTCCAGACATTGTCCCATGGTTTCCACTATAAACTGAAGTTTTGTGATGAGAGGCACCTGGAATTTCTTATGTGCATTAGTGCATGCACTGTCAATCTAAGTGCATTAACAACTAGCAACGTAAAATCAAGATGAATTAGCTGTAGCTATATGACCTCAAAGAGTACCCCCATAGCTTTATAACAAGCAACCTCAACAGATAAATAAGGGATGGGAAAGAGGCAGATAAATGCATGGGAAGGGTGTCATAATTATATTCACCTTGCCATTTGTGGAATTCCAATCTCACATCACATATTACATATACTTGTGAGATTATTAATTTCACATCATGGCAAGGCTTCATATATGACAATGTATTGTTCAAAGACAGAAACTCTTTAAGGCAGCGACTAGACCATAGAGCTAGCACAATATAAGATGACTTCCACTGCATGTGAATCCCCTGCTCTAGCTTTCAACAGCTATGTGCTTTAGTTCGTGAATTGCATTTTGTTTTAGATATAGACAGCATATCTTATAGAATGAAGTAAGTAGTGCCTGAACATACTATACCCCCCTGTACCTATCATTGGAGGTTGTCAACAATGCAGATGACAGTTAAGACAAAAGAATATCAATTAGCACAAACTCCCTTAGCTGAAGCTGTCTGTCTTAGAGTGCTCTATAAATCAATCTCAAAAATGTTGACACTGCCCTTTAAAATCTGTTTTAGGGCTACAAAACCAAATGTAATATCAGAGAGTCTGGATATCTCCACTAAAATATACATTGAAATTCAGTAGTGCATAGGTTAGTTATATAAAGCAAACCTTAGTTGCTTTGAACTAGCTCTATTACAAATTACAGTTCAAGAATAGATCGATCTACCTATGTCACTTTGTGCTCCGGACATATATTATGAGGAGCAACACCAGCTAATAATTGCTATAATCCCTATAGTAGCCTAGTCAGTACATGCATAGATCCTTGTATGAGAGTAGGAGAGAAGTGTTGCTTTTCCAATAGCTCTCTATAAAATTGCCACCTGGGCAACATAAATGAATCAGTCTGCTCCATGCCGTTGTCCATAAGAGTATGGCCTGGTCTTCTTATGTTGAATGGTTGGGAGACCCCCCTTGCAAATGCTGTCACAAGAAAGACTACTTCCTTACCTTCTTTCCACTTTCTCTCTTGATTTTGTATATACATATTTGGGTGTCAGGACTAGTTCCTGGCATTCCTTTAAGACTATTTTTCTTTTATCAGTCTCTTTCCGCTCTCCTTTGTTTGTATTACCTCTCTGATTAGTCTTGAATAATGATAATAATTAATACTAAGATCTGATGTAAAAGTTGGACAGGTTTTCTAAAGAACCTCCAATACTATGAAAAATAGAGCAAGACTGCCTAATCTACAGTCCTTTGACAGCTCATATAAAAGGCACTCCTCTAAATCTTGGCCCTGTTATCACCCCCAATAAAATTTTATTAATGATACAGGGTCTATAACTTACCTAAAGCCGGTCTTGAAGTTCTCCCATGCCACTGATATAAATAGACTGTATAGACTACATACCTCCAGGCTAAATTAAGGCAGTAGACAAATTTAGGGATTAGCAATATTCCACCCCTAAAGATTAAGTATTTCAAAATTTGGTTTCTTAAAACTTGACACAGAGTGCATGGTCATAAAGGCTATGACTCTAGTAGTCATAGGCAACATCCTCTATAACTGAGATAAAGGACCTTCTTTGTATCCTACATTAGATTAAATTGGAATTTTGACCCATCAGTCCCTATTTTTAGCACTGACACAATGTGTAGTTCTAACACATGAACCATGCTACATTCAACTAATAAATACACTTTCCTGTATTCATAACAACACCTTTGTGTGTTAATATAATGTGCTTGCATCAGGAGCAAATCAGGTAGTCTCTAGTTCCCATCATACCCACGGCATCAGGTAGCTATAGGAGCCATTGCCCTGAGCCAGCGAGCTGACAGACTATGAGGTCCTCTAATAGAGTCAATAATGAGGACCAGTCTTAGAACAGACTCACAATGAGCTGATCTGAGGTCCTCTGACGGAGTTGATAATGACTGAGGACCAGCCTAAAGCAGGCTCATTTTATGATTCAGCAATTATAGCTGGAACCAAGGAACTGATTATTTAAATAACGGTCTAGTCCCCAACAAACCCATGGCTGACTCCAAGACGAAGTCTATATACAGGAGGGCCAATGGGTCACATAGAGGCAAAGGGTGGCTATATGAGCCTGTACCCTAGCCAGCAAGCGGATTGACTATAGTGGTTTTCTGACGGAGTCAATACTGAGGACCAGTCAAGATAGGGCTTGCAGCAAGCTGATGTCAGGCTGTGCGATCCTCTGACGGAGTCAATAATGAGGACCAGCCTGAGAACAGACTTGCAGCGAGCTAACAGACTATGAGGTCCTCTGACGGAGTCAATAATGAGGACCAATCTAGGAACAGACTCACTATATGGTTCAGCAAGTATAGCTGGAACTAGGGAACTGACCATGAGAACTTGAAGAGGCAACCGACGTCATTGAAACCCCAAGCGCTGTGTATCCACTCCAACCTCCAGCCAATACTTGGTCAAAAGACGTAAGACATCCTCCACAACCTTAGTAGAAATGAAATAGGATCAGGTATGTCCATACTAACGAGCTCAGGGCGAATAATAAGCAGCTCGTTAGCCATCTTCTTCTCCAGATTCGAGCAAATTTTAAGGCCAATGTGGCAGATCACGTGAGCAGCTTATATATTTTTAAAAATCTTTAAAATTGCTACAGATTTGAGTGGATAATCGGTCAAATACATTGTCATATATGAAGCCTTGCCATGATATGGAATTACTAATCACTAATACTGTAGTACACACAAATCTACCGAGTGAAGGCTGTAATAGTATGAATTATGATAAAAATTACAGCATTTATTTTAGTGTGTCAACACAACTTTTAATTCTTCTTTCATGCCATGGATAATATTACAAGCTTAAGCATAATTATAGCTTGGCTTCACAGTCATGGAATCATTAATTTTGTAAGTCATTGTTGAATATAATGGATAACTTGAAATTATACTTTCACCAGTCAGTTAACCGCTTCATAGTTTTAAAATCAAATAATTATGATAAAAATCATTATATTTTCCAATACTAGCATTAAATTTACCCTATACTATAATAGAGGAGATTTAGTGCTACTGTCATTATTTAGTTCCTATAGTACTATAGGCAAGATTTAGTGCCAATGCTTATTATTTTCTGACAATAGTGATGTAGGAGAGATTTAGTGACACCTGCACTAATGTTTCCCTATTAAAGTACTCCTACATTACATTTATAATAGGACACATTTAATTCTAGATGTCATTAAATGCTTCCTATATAATATGGGAAAAATTCAATGTTTCAAAATAGTGTCTTGTTCCATTGATTTATAGGGAAGATTTAGTACCATAGCGGTACTAAATCTTCCCTATAGACTACAGGGACATTTTTCATTTTAATGATTTTGTATCTAGTTCCTACTATCGCCCAGCCCTAGTTTAGAGTAATATCAATTTAGGAAAATTGATGCATCATAATTATAAAGAGTACTTTATTGCCAGTAATGGCACAAGGGATGGGGTCAAGGCAGCCAATGCAGCAAAAGGCGCAAACTAGACTACATGTATTATCATTACAAAATACAATAGCACATTTTACATTTATTATTGTCTGTATTCCTTTATTTATATAGGGTATATCTTAATGTGTGTTTCTCGTATGCATCAAGATATGAAATTACTGATACTATACATGCAGTCACTGGTTGATGAATACTAGACTATACTACCAATGTAAGTGTATGTACATGTACTGGACATGCATCATATTTATGTACACATAGTGACAGCCATTATTGTATGCTATACAAGCATCACTGACTCAGTCACATTATACACATGTATGCATAAGTGTACTCCTTTACATTATTAATAAAACACACAATTCACATAATAGGTTTATACATTGCAATAGGTAGCAAGAGAGCTGTACATTGTGAGGAAGGACAAGCAGTAAATCAGACAGAGACTGCATTAATACAACATTATAAAGAAAGAGGAGGAGGAGAAGGTGAACTATCAGAAGCAGTACTTAGTCTAGAAGAACTCATGAGTCATTATGCTGCTGAGAGAAAGAAAAGAACTGAACTATTTGATGCTAAGATAATGTTATATGTCAAACATTCAGCTGAAAACAGATAATAATATCTTTAGTATTATTTGTATGCTAAAGACATAAAACAGATAGTTCATTGTTATATTACTCTCTTGTTGAGCTACAAACAAATATTCTTCTTGTAATGGTGCACAGACTAATCACAGAAGATGCTGCAGCCATCATGATTGCTGGAGGAGTAGATTTGGTTGCATCTTGTACTAACCACGCCTGACTGTAGTGTTTTTATAGCATAAAAATTGATAAAAATAAACCGGAAATAAAAATTCAGTGGTGAGCCTTCTTCTAGGGCTGCTTGTGTGACTAAAGTTAATAGGTTATAGTGAAATGTCAACCAAACCTGAGGAGCTGAAAAGAGCCTTCGACAGAGAATTTGGTGAGTACTGAGATTATATTCATAATAATTGTTTTATTAGTATTATTAATGACATAATTATAGATATTACTGATTTTCGATTGGTATGGGAAAAAGCTAGTGTTCTTTCAGGACGCTGGGACTCTATTGGTATTCTGTTAGGAATCAGCTCTAATAAGATAGATGAGATTGAAGCAGAGGGCAAACCGCCAAGAACTTGCCTACGGAAAGCATTTGATTGCTGGTTAAAGAAGGACTATGATTATAAGAGTCATGGTGTCCCTACATTAAGAATGCTGTGTAACTCCATTAAAAGTAATAGTGGAGGAGCTGATCCAGCTCTAGCTGATAAAATAGCAAAAGAATATGCCATTAATCTTACTATAAATAGTAATGGAAAGGCTACTACATCACCAGTCCATACGTCATCTTCTAAAGGTAAATATAATGATAATAGATATATAATCATTTCGATTTGTTATTTCGGAAGCTACTCCAACTGTTGAGCTACCAGTTCCTACTTCACCTCAATCTGAGTCTTCAGTTGTTTACGTTAAGAAAAAGTCAATTGAATATTCACCTGAAAACCTAACAAGAATGATTGGAGATCTACAAGAAGTTTACCTTGATAATATGCGTTTTACTAAAAAATCGTTTTATTCCATTGATGTCTCAGAAGTTGTCGATTTTATTCAAGATTATATTGCACTTTTACTCAGTCCACGTTTTCGTAAAACGCAAATGATTGAATCAATTGAAAAAGAGTTTGACCATGTTAAACAAATGAAGCAGTTGTTTAAGGCATTAGAAAAATACATTTCGTGGTTCAATTTTGAACTTGTCGTCAAGCTAGTGAATACTTTTATTACTGATGAGAGTGATTTACAGAGGAAGTGGTCTACATATCGAGATAAATTAAAAGATTATTTTAAAAATAACAATACTAAAGCAATTCAAATTGCAGACTCAATTGAGTTTGGTCTTTCTGATGTTCCAGGCACTAAAGTAATGATTGCTAAGGTTGCCAGAGACGACTACACATTAAATGATTTATATTTCTTTCATAAGCTGATCACTGATGCACTTGAAGTTCCAGAATATAAATTCTATTTTTGTACCATTGACGATGGCTGCATGGAATTAAAATATTCCATTTCTGATTTTCTTTATTCTGTTCTCTTTCCATTAACCAATCAACAGTGTCACTGAGATTGGAATCATAAAAATTACTTGTCATGAATATGAATGTGAAATGAAGCAAGTATGATAAAAATAACCATGATTGATTAATCGAATTATATTCTCTTATAATTATAGTTGCCAGAAAGTGAATTAAAAAAGCTACATGATTCTCCTATTGGTAATTATTATTATTACTAACTTTACTTGCGATATATTATGTAGATATTTATGATCCTCTCTGGTATGAGAATACTAGCACCCCATTGAATGAAGCATGTTGGAGAGGATCAAAAGATGAAGTACAACGATTGATTGATAAGACTGGCCTTCAGGAAAGAGGTAGAAATGGATGGAGTCCACCATTAGCTGCTTCATATGGGGGCCACATTGATGTCCTCTGTCTCCTCATTGATGTTTATCATTGCGATCCTTCACAAGGTGATGATGATAGTGTTATTAGTTTACACATGGCCTCATATAGAGGCCATCTCAATATTGTGCAGCATCTAGTTAATGAATGTCACGTTGATCCAGACATAGCAGATAGCTCTGGCAACACAGGATTGCTTTACTCAGCACTGGGTGGTCATGTTGACCTCGTGATTATGTTTTTAAAGAAAAAGTGTAATGTGTCTCAGGTCAACAGAGAAGGATCCACTTTATCATTATTAGCATGTAAGAGTGGACAGGTAGCATTAGTTTATGAGCTTAAGCAGTTTGGTATTTTTTTAGAAGATGACATAGATTTTAAAGGATGTGGAATAGTACATTATTGTGCTATGAATGATAAAGTAGAGCTTCTAGAGTATCTTTATGATAATTATAAAAGTGAATTATTTCAAAAAAGAAATCGTTTTGGTGCAACTCCACTCCACATAGCATGCCAGTATGCTTCATCAGGTTTCATTATGAACATGGTTAATATTTTTGGATATAAAGTATTACTAGAAGCTGATTATAGTGGTCGCTCTTCTCTTCATTACTTATGCAGTGGATTAGTTGATAAATACTGCATTACAGAAGTGTATAATAAACTCACTGCACCATGTGATATACCTTTACTAATGCAAATGCCTACATTTAATGTCTATTACAAAGAAGACTGGCTTAAATACATATCATTAAATATAAATGTTACTAAACAACATAAAAGAGTGAGCCTTTTGTCCACACTCCTCAAGAAGACAAGTATTATTGATAATTTTAATATAAATTCTGTTACTGCTACTGGTCGATCTATGGTTCATTTAGCATGTACTAGTGGTAGTATAGTATTAGTGAAAGTATTAGAGGAGTATGGTATTAATACAAGTTCATTAGATTATGAAGGTCGGTCTGCCTTACATTATGCAGTTATACTGTATCTGAGTATAGCTTGAATGCCAGTCAGCCAGACTACAAAGGTGTAGTACCATTAGCATTAGCTTGTATGTCAGGTAGTATCAATGCAGTAGAATATATTATTAATACTACTGACATTGATATTAATATAACCTGTAATGAATGTAGAACACCTCTTCATTATTCATGTCATCATGGTAACGTTGATCTCACTCAATATCTCATAGAAGTACAAGACAGTGACATTAACATAACAGATAATAAGAAATGGAATGCATTGACTCATAGTGCTGAGAGTGGTAACATGAAGCTGGTCAAATACTTCATTAATAATTATCAGTTGCCTCTCACATCATTGGAATTACTTCAAGCAGTGGCTAGTACTAAACTATCATTAATTAAATTATTAGTTATTGAATATAAACTAGATCCTCAAGTTAAAGATGGTGACGGTATGCAATTAGTTCATTTTGCAGCTGAAGTTGGTGCTATCGATGTCTTACAGTATTTAGTAAAAGAGTGTGGATGTGATTTGGATAGAGTAGGTGGAACAAGCAAGAGTAATGTGTTTCATTATTCTACAGCTAATGGCCATTTTTTATTTATTAAATTTATTATTAATAATTATCCACAGTATACTAGTCTGATGCATTCTACTAATGATAATGATGCTCTACCAATTCATTTAGCCTGTGTAAGTGGTGTATTACAACTAGTGACATTTCTAATTGATGTAATGAAATGTGGTGATGTCACTACTGAAGATAAGAGGGGGTTAACTTGTGTCACAAGGGCATGTGCCTCTGGTAATTTTGTTTCTTTTAAATTATTAATAAAACAATACAACCTTAATCCTAGAATCTTTAGCAGAACATCATCACCAGCAGCTGCAGTGTTGTATGGACATGTTCATATACTAGAATGGCTCAAACAAGAGTATCTTATTGATGTAGTCTCATTTAAGAATGGTTTATTACCTTATCATGCTGCACAGCAAAACAAATTGTATTGTTTAGAGCATTTATTAAACAATTATTTCTTTGATATTAATGCCACCTATTCCTATGATGATACTCAATCTACGCTCATTCACAAAGCATGTCAAAAAGGACATGTTGCTATAGTTCTTTACCTCACTAGTCTTCCTCAGTGTGACGTATCAGCTAAAACTTCAAATGGATCAACAGTTCTTCATTTATCATGTAGAAGTCATTCTCTTCCTATACTCAAACATCTAGTGGAGGAGCATCAGTTGGATCTCACTATTAAAGATTACAATGGAATGGCTCCAATTCATGTAGCCTGTGAAGAAGGATCATTGAGTATAGTCAAGTACATTATAGACAATTCACCATTATCTCTAGATATGACTGACTCTTTTGGACGTACTCCACTACTTATTGCAGCTTTCTCTAAGAACCTTCCTATCATTCGTTACCTCAACAGTAAAAACTGTAACATTTCTATACTGGA